AGCCTTTGTCTTTTGGTTGGGGCATTCAACCCATTTACATTTAAGGTAATTATTGATAGGTATGGTCCCGTTGCCATTTATTTTGTTGTTTGGGGTTCGCGTTTATACCACCTTTCTGTGTTTCCTGTCTAGAGAAGATCCTTTAGTATTTGTTGAAGAGCTGGTTTGGTGGTGCTGAATTCTCTCAGCTTTTGCTTGTCTGTAAAGCTTTTGAGTTCTCCTTCATATCTGAATGAGATCCTTGCTGGGTAGAGTAATCTAGGTTGTAGGTTATTCTCTTTCATTACTCTAAGTATGTCCTGCCATTCCCTTCTGGCCTGAAGGGTTTCTATTGATAGATCAGCTGTTATCCTTATGGGAATCCCTTTGTGTGTTATTTGTTGTTTCTCCCTTGCTGCTTTTAATATTTGTTCTTTGTGTTTGATCTTTGTTAATTTGATTAATATGTGTCTTGGGGTGTTTCGCCTTGGGTTTATCCTGTTTGGGACTCTCTGGGTTTCTTGGACTTGGGTGGCTATTTCCTTCCCCATTTTAGGGAAGTTTTCAGCTATTATCTCCTCGAGTATCTTCTCATGGCCTTTCTTTTTGTCTTCTTCTTCTGGGACTCCTATGATTCGAATGTTGGGGCGTTTCACATTGTCCCAGAGGTCCCTGAGGTTGTCCTCATTTCTTTTGATTCTTTTTTCTTTTTTCCTCTCTGCTTCATTTATTTCCACCATTTTATCTTCTAACTCACTTATCCTATCTTCTGTCTCTGTTATTCTACTCATGGTTCCCTCCAGAGTGTTTTTGATCTCATTTATTTCATTATTAATTTTTAATTGACTTTTTAAAATTTCTTCTAGGTCCTTGTTAAACATTTCTTGCATCTTCTCAATCTTTGTCTCCAGGCTATTTATTTGTAACTCCATTTTGTTTTCAAGATTTTGGATCATTTTTATTATCATTATTCTAAATTCTTTTTCAGGTAGATTCCCTATTTCCTCCTCTTTTGTTTGACTTGGTGGGCTTTTTTCATGTTCCTTTAGCTGTTGGGTATTTCTCTGCCTTTTCATCTTGTTTAGATTGCTGTGTCTGGAGTGGGCTTTCTGTATTCTTGTGGTCTGAGGTTCCTTTTTATTGTGGAGGTTTCACCCAGTGGGTGGGGTTGGACGATTGGTTTGTCAAGGTTTCCTGGTTAGGGAAGCTTGTGTCAGCGTTCTGGTGCGTGGAATTGGATTTCTTCTCTCTGGAGTGCAATGGAGTGTCCAGTAATGAGTTTTGCGATGGATCTATGTGTTAGGTGTGACTTTGGAGAGCCTGTATGTTGACACTCAGGTCTATGTTTCTGCATTGCTAAAGAATTTGCGTGGTATGTCTTGTACTGGAGCTTATTGGCTCTTGGGTGGTGGTTGGTTTTGGTGTAGGTATGGAAGCTTTTGGATGGTCTCTTATTCCTTAATGTTCCGTGTAGTCAGGAGTTTTCTGGTTTTCTCAAGATTTGGGCTTAAGTCTCCTGCCTCTGGATTTCAGTTTTGTTCTTCCAATAGTCTCAAGACTTCTCCAACTATACAGCACTGATAATAAAACTTCTAGGTTAATGGTGAAAAGATTCTCCACCGTGAGAGACAACCAGAGAGGTTCACAGAGTTACATGAAGAATAGGAGAGGGAGGAAGGAGATAGAGGTGATCAGGAGGAGAAAAAGGGGACTCAAGAGGAGAGAGACAGATCTACGCAGTTATCTGTTCCCAAAGTGTTCTCCGTAGCCCAGACACCCACAAAGATTCACAGAGTTGGATTGGGAAGAGAAGGGGAAAGGAGGAAATAGAGGCGTTCCGAGGTAGAAAACAGAGAGTCAAAAGTGGGAGAGTAATCACCACACTCCTGAATAGAAATGGGAACTGAATATTGGATTCTTAAATGACCAAAATTTATATCACATACTACTGAAAAACAAAGATTAAAAATCTAGTGTAGAGGTTAGACTCTTTGAAATACAATATTTAAAAACAAAAACACACAAAAAAATTTAGAAATGTATATGAAGTTTGATTTAAAAATAGGGTTTCTCTCTCTCTCTCTTTTTTTTTTTTTTGGCAAGGTTATAGTGAAATGAAAATGAAAATTAAGGAATAATAGAGGAGTATTAGAGGACTTTAAAAGGAAATAGGAGAGGAAAACAAGAAAAAGAAAAAAAAAGAAAAAAAAATTTTTTTTTCCCTAATTAAAAAAATCGTAAAAATATATGAAAATGAAAGTTGAGGAGTAATGGGGGAGTAATAGGGAATTTTAAAAGAAAATAAAAGAGAAAAAATTAAAAAAAAATTTAAAAAAGGATAGAAAAAAAAAATTTTTTTTTAATTTAAAAAAAAAAAAAAAAAATATATATATATATATATATATCTAGGAATTTCTCTGGAGTTGTTGCGGTCAGTGTAGGTTCAGTTCAATTTCAGATAGCTCCTCTTTCCAGCTTACACTTCTCGATATCTGTAGGCCCCTTCTGGTGTAGTCGGTGTTACCTTCAGGGATTTTAATCTGTTGCACCAGTCCTTTCTGAAGCGGTTCCCTTTGTTTATTTGGCTTCTGTTTGCCATCTCTTTGGTGTCTAATTTCTGCCCTGACCCAGGCGGGCGGAGGTGATCTCTTATTTAGGTTCGCTAGTTCAGTTCAGTCCTGCTACGGGGAGGGCGGGGCGCTGCAGACAGATACCGCTCTGTGTGGACAGCACTCACCGTGTTCCGGCCACACTGGGTTTGCCCCGCTCACGGGTTCAGTGCTTTCGCCGTCTACACTGCTCAGGCTCCCGGCTGCTCTATATGGAGCGGGCCCTGCGTTGAGTGCGGTTCCAGTTTTCGGGTACTCCACAAAAGGGCAGATTCGGTTGCGCCTGCGTTTTGTGCCTTCCCCGGCCTGAGCGGTTCAGGCAGCCAGAGGCTTGGGCGCACTCTCCCCGGGTGCGGCGCGCCTTTTCCCTCCGCGTCGAGCGGCTCAGGCAGCCAGAGGCTTGGGCGCACTCTCCCCGGATGTGGCGCGCCTTTTCCCTCCCCGGCCTGAGCGGCTCAGGCAGCCAGAGGCTTGGGCGCAATCTCCCCGGGTACAGCGTGCTTTTTCCCTCCGCGGCCCCAGCGCGCACCCCCAGTCGGGTCTAGTGGCCTAATCTTGAGCTCTGCCTTAAGTGTGTTCTAGTGGCTCAGCTGGTAAAGAATCTCCCTGCAATGCAGGAGACCCTGGTTTGATCCCTGAGTCGGGAAGATCCCCTGGAGAAGGGAATTGCAACCCACTCCAGGATTCTTGCCAGGAGAATTCCATGAACAGAGGAGCCTGGTGGGCTACAGTCCATGGTGTCACAAAGAATCAGACACAACTGGGCAATTAACACTTTCACTCTAAGTGTGTCCTAGCTTCTCACAAACAAAATAAGTTTATCTTTTAAAAAAATAAAAATAAATAATAAGTTTATCTTTTAAAGTTTTACCTTTTTCATTTCATTTCTACAGTGTTTGCATTTTTATATCAGGAAAACAATAAGCTCTATTTTTTAAGTGGTGGGTAATAGTAGAATAGAAAAAACACTAGAATTGGAACAAAAACTCAAGGTCAGGTCCCAAACCCAGTGGAGGTTCTGAGTCCTTAATTTTTTAAAAAGATCATTAAGAGTTCATGTCACTGAGACTGCTTAATGAACAAATCAACCCCTAAAAAGGTCCTTTGAAGAGTTTGTGTCAATTGCCAACAATATAACTTGTACCACTGACTTACTTTGATAGTACTCATAATGGTATAACTTCTTCTCCCATTTTATGCCTCTCCTGTTTTTTCTTATGCTTCCTTTTTGCTTTCAAGAGGGATCAGTCTTTTATATCTCCAGTATGCTTTTCCTAATAAGAAGTGGAGACTTCTTATTCTAAATGAAATATCAAGTTAAGAAATAAAGACCTAAGTTGAAAAAAAGAAAACTTTATTTATCTAACCCTAAACCTTAAAGTTATAAATACCTTTGTTTTCTTTGCAGGCTTTTTTTTTTTTTGGCCACACCATGGGCCTGGGCAGTGAAAGTGCCAAGCCCTAACCACGGGACCACCGTGGAATTCCCTCTTTGCAAACTTCTGAGGCTTCTTTTTTATTGTTGTCTTTCTGGGCCATTTTTTAAATTTCTAATTTGGGAGTGAGGCATTCTGCATCTTCAGAGCAGCTTTTTTTCCTCTTCCCTGTTCTGACTAAAGGTCCTAGACCTACCTCAGTAGCTTCTGCTCCTTGTGCTCTTGTTTCACATTCCACAAAGGCAAACCCCTTTGACTCTCCAGGAGACTTATAATGTGGTACAGTTACAGAAACAACATTACTGTATCTCCCAAATATTCTTTCAATCCAGCTGTGACTAACATTTTGGGGAAATAATTCCTATGATACATTAGAAGCAATAGTAAGTGAAATAAAATATTAAGTAATTCTTTTAAAAAACAAAGTTTACTAGAATCGAAGGACTGTTGGATAGAAGCACCAGTGATCACTGGCAACCGGGATTTAATTTTTTAGTTTTTAAGGTTTATTTGTTTATATTTGGCTGCTGTAGGTCTTTGTTGCCGAATGAGAGCTTTCTCTAGTTGCAGAGAGTGCTGGCTACTCTCTAGCTGGGCCACACGGAGTTCTCACTGCAGTGGCTCTCTTGTTACAGAGCACAGGTTCTAGACGCACGGGCTTCAGCAGTTGCAGCTCACCAGCTCTAGAGCACTGGCTCAGTAGTTGTGGCTCATGAGTTTAGTTGTCGCTCATGAGTTTAGCTGTCACGCAGCATGTGGGATCTTCCCGGACCAGGGATTGAACCCTTGTCCCGTGCTTTGGCAGGCAGATTCTTAAGTGCTGGACCACCAGGGAAGCCCCGTAACCGGGATTTAATTGCAAAAGTTGATTCCTACTTTCTAAGCATTTTTTAAGACCTAGTAAAACTGTCAACCAGTGTAAATTAATGGCTTTGAAAAGGGCAACCACATGGCTTTCCGCTATTGTCCTTCACAGGTAAGGCCTTGGAAAAGGCTGGGGGCAAGGAGTTCTTGGAAACAGTAAAGGAGCTTCGCAAGTCCCAGGGCCCTTTGGAAGTAGCTGAAGGTAAGTGTGGAGTTGGGTCACTTCCCCAACCACCTTCTCCTCTAGCAGGACATGCTTCACACACATTCAGTTCACAGAGCAAAACAGGCCACAACCAATCAGGAAGGCATTTTAGCATCTCTCAGATAATCAGAGCAGGCCCACATAGATCATTTCATACACCATGGGGACTAAAGTGTCTGGATAGTTCAGGCCAATTTGCATCATCAGCTCACGCAAAAATGGTCTAGAACGGTTGGGTAACTTTCTGTGTGTGCAGAAAATACATGACAAAATTTGCCATTGTGACCTTTAAACCTGTACAGTGCGGTGGCATTAAGTATCCTCAGTGCTGCTTCTCTGTCACCACTACCTAGTTTCCAGAACTTTTTATCACCTTCTGTAGAAACTCCACATGGATTAAGTAGTCACGTCCCTCCCAGCCACTGACAACCACCAGTCTGCCTTCTCTGTCTATAGATTTGCGTCTTCTGGATATTTTATATAAATTGAATCATATAATATGTGAACTTTTGTGTCTGGCTTCTTTCACTTAAAATGTTTCAAGGCTCATCCATACTGTAACTTGTATCAGTGCTTCATTCCTTTTTAGGGCTGAATACTATTTCATTTGTTTATCCATTCATCACTTGCATTATTTCCACCTTTGCTTCCGTGAATAGAGTTCCTCTGAACACCTGTGCACAGGTTTTTGTTTGTTTGAACACTTACTTTCAAAGGTAACTTTTTGACAAGTGGGTCCGACTTCAGATCTGTGTTCACACCTACCTCCAAGGACATCTAGTTGGTGGCAAGTGCTGCCCTGGGGCGGGGGCTCCAAGGACAAAGAAAACCCACTCCTGTCCTCCAGCACTGGACAGTTGAGAAGGAGAGACAGACACATAAGTGGGGTACAGAGAGAGAGCCATACTCTCTGCTTGGGGAGTTGGGGAAGTACCAGTGAGGATGCAAGATCTACTTGGGGGCAAGGACATTGTGGGCAGTAGGGTACAGTGTGTGAGAAGGCGAGGTCAGGAGCCGCAGGGAGATGAGCAGCAGCCAGAGATGGGCCTAGCCCTCGGGCTGTGCTAATGGTCTGGATTTGACTCTATGTGGACTAAGAGAGGTACCTTTGAAAATAGAAGCTGGGGAATGTCATGATCAGATTTGCTTGCAAGAAAAGTTATAGGGCTACTGATCAAGAAAGAATGTGTGTCCTCACCTTATATCCTGCACATACCACTCATCATACGATGATAGATAGAATTTCCTTTTTAAGATTTTGAGACATTGGACTTCCCTGGTAGTCCAGTGGCTAAGAATCTGCCTGCAGTGCAAGAGGCTTGGGTTCAATCCCTAGTCCGGGAGGATCCCACATGCCGTGGAGCAACTAAGCCCTTGTGCTACAACTATCGAGCCTGTGCGCTGCAACAAGAGAAGCCACTGCAATGAGAAGCACGTGCACCACAAATGAAGACTAGCCCTTGCTCACTACAACTAGAGAAAGCCCTCACACAGCAACGAAGACCCAACACAGCCAAAAATAAATAAAAATTTTTTAAAAAATTTAAGACAGAGGCATGCTGACATATAACATAAGCATCCATGTAGACAGAGATAGAGCTGCAAGCAGCAACAGTGAGGGGACGTGGGAGCTGGGCTGCAGTTCTGGTAATATGGAGAGAAATCAGGAGGTCGCCTCTTACCTGCTGATGGAACTAGAGTCACCTCACACTTGGAAGGGACACGAGCCAGGCTCCCTGATGAAAGAAAGGGCTGGATGAAACTTCCAGCCCTTACAGGGAGCCAAGGTTCTGACCAACACCTTGGGCTCTGGCTCGTGTGAAATCCATTTTCTAGAGTAGCGGAAGTGCAGAGAGCCCCTTACCCGAGCCCAGGACCACCCACCCACCGTGCCTGCATCTACCCCATCCCTGTATAACCCTGAGACAGAGCCCTGAACCGTCCGTGTAAGAGAGGCTCCTAACTGGGGTCTTCGGGAAGCACCTGCAAACTGCCTGATAGGATGGGAAGAAGAGAAACAGCTTCTCTACATAAAATGAGAGCCTCCAACATGCTTCTAAACAGTTCCAGAGGTAGGAAATAGGAGGTAGAGAAGCAGTATGTAAAAAGATGAAGGGACTTCCCTAGCAGTCCAGTGGTTAAGATTCCATGCTTCCACTGCAAGGTCACAGGTTCAATCTCTGGTCAGGGAACTAGGATCTTGTATCACAGGCCAAAAAGTTTAGAAAAAGTAATAATTAATAAAAAGATGAAGAGTTACAAACTACTATGTGTGAAATAAATAAACTACAAGGATATATTGTACAGCACAGGGAATACAGCTAATATAGCCAGTATTTTATCATAATGTTAAATGAAGTATAATCTATAAAAATTCTAAAGGAGTATTTTGCACACCTGAGACTAGTATGTTATAAATCAACTATACCTCAATTTAAAAGAAAAAAGATCTTGACTGAGAATTTTCCAGAATGAAACCCTTGAGTCTTCAGGTTGAAAACATTGAGTATATTTAAAAAATCAAAATAAATCCAAAACCTGGCCTATCCTGGTAGCATTTCAAAAAATCAAGAGAAACCTGAAAAGCAGCCTAAGGAAAGGCAGGGAATTTGTAAAGATGGTTCTCCTGCCAGCAGACTTGTCAGCAACAAAAGATGCTTGGAGACAGAAGTGTCTTCAAAGCACCAAGGTGGAAAACTGCACTAAGAAGTTCACATGTTATTTGTTATCATTCAACAGGGAGGGTAAAAGGTGCGGAATTTCAGATAGCAAAAGTTGAGAGTCAGAGGTCCACAGAATCTTGCTGAAAGGACCACAGAAGCCTCAGAAGCCTCACAGGGAGAAACAGAAGTGAATCCAGAAGAAAGGAGAGGGGTGCAAGAAACAAGCTTGAGCTAAAAAAGCAGACACATCTGTACATGGCCCCAGGGCCAAACAGCAGTTATCTCCCTGGGAAGAAGGGTTTCGTGTGGGTGCATCTGGAAAAGGGGAGATAGTTCATCAGGGTCTAAATTAGACCATATTTCATTCAGTTTCAAAACACCATCACTTGTAAGATATGTCCTTATTGTAAGAAAGAATACATTTCCAAGATGGAATGGCCAGTAGGAGACCCTGGGCACCTTCAGTGTAACAGAAAGCAAAACATGGATCCACCATGCAGAAAGGGCAGCCAGTACCTGTCTTGACCTTGGCATTGGGTAGACCAATAGGGAAAAGCCTCACTAGGGAATTTGAGCTACATGCTGGTACTCCTGTGGATTTGCACGGTGGCCCCAAAACCTCAATTGGGAAGGTTAGTGGGACGTGACCTGGATATGGTAGAGTCCCCAGATGACATAGAAGCAAATGCAACTTCCCTGTGGAAGAACTCATCTCGGTCCAAGCCCACAGCGATCATAAGTGCGTCCAGATTCCAGCCGGGAAGCTGGATGGGAGAGGGGTGGGACATGGTGGTGGAAGTCAAGCAGATGGGCCTAGCGTGAGGCAAGTCAGAGGAAGCCAACAGGTGGTGCCAGCGACAGACAGAGGAAGGGGAATTGGCTTTGGGCATGAGCAATGACCCATGGGCACCTGTTGGACCTGGGGCTCCACCAAGGTCACTGGTAAGCAGCTGATGAAAACTGCGGACAAAAATGGCCTGTGGGAGCCAGGGCCAAGCGGCAGCAGAGAGAAGAATACCAGGCCTGAGTGGACAGGAGAAGGAGGGGCTGCTGCAGGAAACTGAGGCAGGAGGGAAAGCACAGACTCATGGAGACCAAGGATTAGCTGTCGCAGCGGCCTCCCAGCAGGACAAGGGGCCACCTGCCATCTGCTTGGTGGTGGTGACTCTGAAAAGGTGTTGGGCTCCCCTAAGGAAGGTTCTAGAGGCTCCTTGCAGCCACTCTGCCATCTCAGAGCATGGTCCTCACCAAGTGAAGGTGACACACCAGGGGACATCACATCACATAAAGAGTATTAGTAAATGTTTATACCAAATATCAGGGTCCCAAGCCCCAAGATCACTTGACCTTCACCTTGGCACCTCTAGAGAACACTAAATCATTACAACTACAAGCGGAGGTTTCCATTTCCAGTTGCCATGGAAATGCTTTGTTTTAGGCTGACCTGCTACCATGGACTACCTTCAAAATCTAGTGTAGAGACTTCTCTGACGGTCCCCACTGCAGGGAGCCTGGGTTCAATCCCTGGTGGGGGAACTAAGATCCCACATGCCATATAGCACGGACCAAAAACACCAAAGAAAGAAACAACAATAACAAAACAAAAACTAGTATAAATAGAGAGTGTCAGAGGGGATGAGAAGGCATGCCATTTTTTTCTTGTTTCACTTACCACCACCATTTTTTTAAAACACCACCTCTTATTTAAAATGACTTTTAACATTAAAAGAGTATCATTCAGCTGGTAACATGATCATATTTTAAATATATAGAAAATAAATCAGCCTTTATTTTGTAAGGAGCTGAAATCTCCCCAGCGTATAAGAACAGTGAAGGCCTCAGGGAAGTTGCCCCAAGCAGGCAGTGCCAATCCCCACGATACTGGGTTCCCTTGAACCACAAGGCCAATGGTAATATTCTGCTTCTTGTGTACAAATGTACATAGTCGGAGAGTCAGCCAGTCATGCCCGCTGCTGCCTCAGTATTTACATCGACTGATTCCTTAACTCACTCATTCACTAATCAGACGCTTGGCGCCAGCCTGGGCACTGGGAAGGCAGGGCATTCACAGCTGGAGCCGACGGGCGGGGACGCCCCTTGCGTTTGTCGCCACCCACCCTGGCCTCTGTAGCACTGTGGATGGACATCACTAGGAAACACACTCGTGTACTGGGTGGGCATCATACATTCCAAGTAAGTCTTTCAAACCAACCCCACACGCTGCTCTGGAATGTGGCAGACATACATTTGTTAGAAACGCTGCCCTAGCAGTGTGACCTGCCCGAAGTCCCCCAGTCTCCCAGAGCCTGGCCACTGCAGGAGGGTGGAGGACCTTTGCTAAATCTGGTTCCTTGAGTGGCACAGAGCCCCCGCTCCACAAGGTGGGTGGCTTAGAGGCAAGCAGCAGGTGGCTGAAGCCACGGACACCCCCAAGGGGCCAGAGAGTGGCCAGTGGATCAGACCCAGCCACTCGTTTGGAGATCAATGGCCACAGGGACTTACCTAGAACTCCTCCCTATCAGCTCTGGCACTGACAGGAAAGAGGTTATAGGGAGTATGACCTGAAATTATGAGACCAAGCAGGCGTAATCTAACTTCACAACCTGTTGGGAACACCTGCTCCCTGCAGGCTCCTCAGGTATACAGAGATGATCAAAAGATAGTCCCTGTCCAAGGAGGTGTACAACATAGTAGAGTGGTTCTCAATTTATGGAGGGTCCTTAAATCACCAAGCACAAGGCCTGCATGAGACTTACCAAGTCAGGATCTCAGATGGGGAGAGGAGAGAAGGCTTGTCCATTTTTAAAAAGCCACTGTATTAGTTTCCTATCACTAGAAACTATTACAGACCTGCACAAATTAGCACAAACTTGGTAGCATCAAACAACACAAATGTATTGTCTTAGCACTCTGGACATCAGAAGGCCGCAATGAGTCTTAAGAAACTAAATTCAAGGTGCTGGCAGGGCTGGCTCCTTCTTAAAGCAGCTGTTCCTTGCCTGTTTCAGCTTCCGTTTGTACTAAGTTATTTCAGTCATGTCTGACACTTTGTGACTCTATGGACTGTAGCCTGCCAGGCTCCTATGTCCTTGGGATTCTCCAGGCAAGAATACTGGAGTGGGTTGCCATTTCCTCCTCCAGAGGATCTTCCCAACTTAGGGATCGAACCCACATCTCCTGCATTGGCAGGCAGATTCTCTACCACTGCACACATACTACCTGGGAAGCCCCATACCTTTGATTAGGAGGCCAGAAGGCAGACCACGTGAACATCTGTGACACGCTGTCACATCTGTTTTCACTCTTTACCTGAAGCTTGTGCCAACTGTCAAAAGCAATTCTGACAGGCTCTTCCTCTCCTAAGGAGGACACAGGAGATTCAGCCTAACCCCCTGGCTTAAGGTGAAGACATAGGAAATAACCTACGGCATTTCTCTCTCCTGTCCCAGCCGCCGTCAGCCAGTCGAGCGGACTTGCAGCCAAATTTGTCATCCACTGTCACATCCCGCAGTGGGGCTCTGACAAATGTGAAGAACAGCTTGAAGAGACCATCAAAAATTGCCTCTCGGCAGCAGAGGACAAGAAGCTGAAGTCGGTGGCGTTCCCGCCCTTCCCCAGCGGCAGGTGAGATGTTCTCTTCTGGGCGGGCGGCGGGGATGCTGGGTCAGTTCATGTAGCCTTCTCCCTGGGAGCCAGCTGCGCCCCCACGTGGTCACATCCGGCGTGGCCATCCCAGAGGACAAAACCAAGGACTGCCAGTGGCTGCCAAGCACTTTGACCAGGCGACAGAGTGAGAAACCCAGTTTCCCTCGTTCGAAACACGCAGAGAAAGGTAGCTTCCAGAAGGAATGGGAGGCAGAGTTCGTTTTTTGAGAGCCGGGTTCAAAGTCCACGTGCTCACCAGCTGTCCCCGTCTAAAACACAGACTGGGAAACACCAGGCTCGAAGGCGCTTGCTTCTCAAAGCGTGGTCCACCGACCAGCAGCAGGGAGCCCACAGAGTTAGGATGCAGATCTCAGAACCCCCAGGGGACCCCATGCTCCCCTGGGGCTGGGCGAGCCCTGCAGCAGAGGCTGGAGAAGTGAGAGATCCTCAGCAAGAGCTTGCTTTCAGGGGTTGGAGAAATGATTGCTGTCTCTGCCACAGACCCCAACGGGGCGTGGGAGCAATATTTCAGGTAAATAATGAGGCTGTCTGTCCTCACATGTAGCATGGCCTCTCCCCTCACACTCACAGCCAGAGGGAGTTATTGCCTTAATTTTGAACACCCTCTCAAGAGTGAGTCCTCCATAGCGAAGATAATGATTTACAGTCTGAAGATGTTACAGCCGAGTCACAGCGGAAGGCGGAGAGGGAAGGAATGAGGCTTAGCTTCCTGACACAATTCTATCTCAACCTAAGCGGGCAGTGCTGGGTCTCCATAGCCTGGCCCGGAGGCGCTGAGGATGGAATTCTCTGCATACAACTGCAACCACTCACCAGGATGTCCTGGGCTGGGACGTGACAGCTGACCAAGAAGAATGTTTTATTAGGCCAGCCCATCCCAGACCCACCCAAGGGGGCCAAAGTTTCACCACGATGGTTGTGTCCCTGGCAGACAGCTCTCCTGTGGCATGCTTGACAGCTTGACAGCTCTCCTGGGACTTGGGGCCCTGCCCAGAATTGTCACTGCTGAAGTTACATTGGCACATCCACATGGGTTAGTGAGAGGAAGGTGAAATCCATGAAACAGGAATTAATGAAGATGTGCCTCTTTTGAGCATACATTTGTGCCCTTTAATAAACAATCCGTTTAGCATGGAAACCAGTTTTGAGGGAGCTAATAAAAACTATACAAGCTTTCTGCAAGATCAGGTATTTTAAATCCTGAGTTTGTATTTTTTAAAGCTAAACCAGACTTGAGTCAGGCCACATAGATTCAAGCACGGGGCTCCTCACCAGCCAGCCCTAAAACCATGGTGCCTCTCTGAGCCAAGGTGGCACCTGTAAAGTGGGGACAATGACCCCTGCCTGCCTCCTTCCCAGGCTGTCCCTCTTCTGGGGTCCAAAGAGACTGTGTGTGGACCCCCCTGCACACAGTAAGACCTTGAGTGACAGGAACAAGGGCCTGGTGCCAAGATAAGAAGGAATCACGTCGCCCCGACCCCAGGCTGAGGGCAGAGTTCCTTCATGGGCCCCAGAACCAAAGTGACATTGGCTCCTCTTTCCCTTTGGCACAGAAACTGCTTCCCCAAACAGACGGCAGCCCAGGTGACCCTCAAAGCCATCTCAGCCCACTTTGATGACTCGAGCGCATCCTCGCTGAAGAACGTCTACTTCCTCCTCTTCGACAGCGAGAGCATCGGCATCTACGTACAGGAGATGGCCAAGCTTGATGCCAAGTAGCCGCCCTGCGCCCACAGGCGGCCACCACACTCACCAACGGGAGTCAGGAGGATCAGAGTCACAGGAGCGGGGTTTTATCTTTACAAGGAGAGAGGAAGGGTGACGGCAGGGGAGCGGAGGGCAGCTGAAAGGGAAGCGGGTAGCAGGAGCTGCAGGAGCAGGCCCTGCCCACGGGAAGAGCCCTCTGCATTTCTATTATTTTATATTCTCGTTAAGAAAGAGCCTCAGTCCGTAATTAACCAGGTCTCCACCAGGGTTTTCTTTCTATGTGTTTTCTTCCTGATGTTTTAGAACTTTAAAAAAAAAAAAAAGACTTTGTTTAGATTTATAGCATTGATTTTTACACACACACAAAATCTTTTCAAAATTCTTAAAATCTTCTGTTTCTCCTTTTTTTGCAAGGGAAGAGGGCGGGGAAAAAAGTGACTTGGGCTTTGTTGGCTGTCTGTATTCAGTGATGGGAGAGAAGAAAATTAGAAAGGCATCTCACTGGTGCTTTTCTTTTCTGTCTTAGTGCCCCCACCTTTAACCCTATAATATCTGTAACTACTCTTAAAAAGATTTTGCTTCAGGCTTTTTTTTGTTTTGTTTTGTTTTTTAAAGAAAATGAAAGGAAAAAAAATAAAAGATCCAGTGTCTTTCTTACAATATATTCTTTTATTGCAACATTGTCCTCAGTCTGGAGAACTGTGTCCCCGTGGATGGACACTTCTAGAATGTTATAAATAGAACAAGGCCTGTCACTGCAGGACCGAGGCTCCCACCATGCCAGGCCCCAGGGCAGACGGCACACAATGGCTTGTGTTTCTCAGGCAGCAGGTCCCGCTTGCAGGAAGGGAGTCTGGTTGGTTGTGGTCCACAGGAATGGAGGCCTGGGTGAGCCTCCATGGGGTGGCCATCCTTTGGGAGAGAGGCACAGTCTCTCTTAGGCATGGGCAATAGCATGGAACAGACCTGGTCCACAGCCCAGACAGGATAGACCACTAGACCCCAGTGAGGCTGGTATCCTAAGAATTCTGGCCAAGTACCCAGAGGTTAGCAGTAAAAGTAGGCAGCGAGAGACAGGGCAGGCCAGGACAGGGCCTGAATTTATTCAGATGAATTCATCAGACTCTTCTGCATTAGGGTTATGGTCCCAAATAGGCTTATCCTGATTAGAAGTCCTCTCTCTAACAGAAGAGTCAACTTTTTATTATTTATACCTTAACATCATTGGTGGCAGGCATTATTGCCACAAGGCTGAGCCTCCAGATAAGTGACATTGGGGTTGGTCAGGAAATCAGAGGAACAAAACCACAGGGTTCCCACAGGGTACCCCTGCTCCAGCATCAGCTAGAGATTTGTCACAAATTTGCCCATGATGCTAGCCTGGAAGAATTCTGGGGTTCCCCTGCTGAACCCCAATCTGTTCCCTGAATGTTAGCCAGATTGCAACCCATGAAAATGGTCATGCTAGTTTGGCTGTCTTTCCTTGACACCCCCAGCAGCTGGCAGACCAGGTTTCTGTCTTAACCCTTTAGGTCTATAAAAACTCGCTCTCTGGTAGCATGGACTAACCAGGAGGGAAATTTCATCTAATGCTTCTTAAATATAACCTATGGTATATAATCAGGATCTAAAAATATAAATATATGTTTCATGAAGAATAAAGATGGTATGGACTAACAGTTTAAAAATCAGGCTCCTATTAACCTGACCGTTGCAGGATGTACAGGCTTCCCCAGCCCCCATGTGATGGGAGAGATTGGGATGCAGACCATCCCTCCATCCCAGCCCCCTTTCCTTAGCTGGTCTTGTGCAGGCCCTCTTTCCTGCCCTTACAGACAGGGAGATGCTTCCTGCCACCAGGAGAGGGCGCTCTCTCCCGTACTCAGAGCTCTGAATGCCACATACCCCGCGCGCGCACGCACAAAGGAGGCTGGGGTAGAGAAGGCAGGCTATGTCCTCCTCAGGACCAAGTGAACCCTTCAGCCAGCATGAGTGCAAAAACACCTTTCCAAACCCAGAAAGAGTTTTTGCCCTTAGGCATTTGTCAAGTGGGTACCATCTGTCAAGAAATCTGATCCCCAGGCGGCAGTGGTACCTGTATCTTGCCTGGCTTCCCCATCAGGGTGGAGACTGTTTCATGGTTTTCCAGCTTGTGGAGACCAACAGGTCCCGGCTCTTGGCCAGCCGAACCATGAGCCGCCCCACGTAGAAGCCGCTGATCTGGCCCACGCCATCATTTTTCCCCATGGCCAGGAGGAACGTCAGTGAACCTGTGGAGCAGAGACATGCACACAATCTAGAATCCTGCTCACTGTTCATGGGCCTGCAACTCCCTGGGCACAAACCCTCCCCGGGGCCTTCAGTGTCTAGGCGGGGAAATGCATACGGCTTTCAGGAAGGTGGCCAAGTCCCCGACACATCTTCCTAGAACTCTGGGTTGGGGTTGGGGGTGTGGGGGCGGGTTCTATCCCCAACTTTCAGAGTGTGTTCTAGCGTTCAGGCATCCTAAAGTCCACAAAGGCTTCTCCGCATCTAACCCATACTCTTAAGACTGTGCCACGTGTGGGGCTTCCTGACCTGGCTTGTAGGTTTTGAGGGGTCTCTGTTTCATGGAGTTGACGATGTTGGCCACGGCAACGTTGGCGTGGAGGCTGGCGTGATAGGCCATCTTGGGCTCCCTCACGTCGGCGCAGTCTCCGATGGCGTAGATGTGGCTGTAACCTTCCACCTGAAGGTACTCGTTCACTCTCAGAGCGCCGTTGCCAGCCAGCCGATCACCTGCCAGGAAGAACCAGCCTGAAACCAAGATCCTGAGCTGCCGTGGCCACCTGAACCACAGTGAGGACTGGCCATGGTGCTGGTCCAGCCACCCTCTAAAGGCACATCCTCAAGAGGCAAGTCTCCTTCCTGGTTTATTTCTGCCTGACCTCCCCACATCAGAAGGCTTCGTGCAAAGGTGAGGTTATAATTCTAGGGTGGAAACTGGTCAGAAATATCAGAAAGGGTCACTGCTTACAAAGCACACGAGTCTTTATATGTTACCATGATTAACAAGAATTCACTTATGATGATTAAGTCACAACCTCGGCAAGTCTTGGATTTCCTTCTGAATGAGGATCATATTTTTTAAATAAATGCAGGACTTTAATAAAAGATAAACTTTTCTTTATAAGGGACTTTAAACAATTTATCTTTGGAAATATAATATTAGGACCATTAGGTGTTAAGTCCTGGGATCTCTGTACATTTTAAACCCTTGATCCCATCCCCAAACAGCCAGGACTAGTTTCTTTCTGGATCATTCTTTTCTGCTAGATACACAACAGGAGCTTCTTATCTAGGAAAGGTACTGGGGAGCATATGATGGGGACCTGGGGACATGCCCACAGTGAGGCCTGAGAAGGAACCACTGCGTCTCCAGCTCACAGATGGAGCCATGGGTCCAGCTCCCTCATCTCCATTTTAGTTCAATAGGTCAATGCTGAGCTTTAAGAACAAGAGGTTTCATTATCACCCCCGTTCCTCAAGATTGTTCCAAGCTCAAGTGGCCAAATGTCTGGGTCAGGATTTTGGGAGAGCGGCACCTATGGACAGAGAAAGGCCTGACCCTGGAATTTCCCCTGCATTTGCAGAGAAAAGTTAACAGAAAGCAAATCCTTCTCTCGGAAACCTGTTTCCATCTCTTACCACTAGGGGCGGGATCCGATTTTGGAAGAATCTGGTCACTTTGGGCACCTTGAGCTAAGTCATCAAAACAGCAGAGGGACGCACAGCAGAAGTGGACCTGAACTTGAAGTTTGATGTCACCATTCAGAAGAAACCAAATGAGCTGTTGAGATAGGGTGGGGGTGGGGGACAAAGTGCCGGTTCCTGGGGCAGAGTCCTGCAGGACCTTCCCGGGGGCTGGAGAGAGAAGAGGCAGCCTGTGGAGGGGCCCACCACTGAGCCTCCCACTTACCAAACGCGCTGCGGTAGGCTGCACTGTTGATCTTGATACCGTTGCAGACAATCACCAGGTTGGCGGCCACCTCCGTGCCTTTGTCCGTCTGCACCTTGATGCACTCGCAATACTCGTTGACAGGCAGTGCCTCCAGGTTGCTCACCCGCTCACCTGTCAGGAGAGGCTGGTTGACCAGGAGGCTGGCAGAGGGCAGGTGTGTCTCCAAGGCCGAGGCCCAAGCCAGGGCTGGCCTAACAGCTGGAGACCAGTGCGCCCTGCAGCCCCGAGAAGCACCCGGGACATCTGGCCCCAAGGGACCCAAGGGGAGGCAGGTTCCAAGAAGCAACTTGGGGAAATGAGGTTGAGTTTCCCAAGAGGTTCTGCGAAAAGCTATTTGAGGAAACCGCCCTCCTGAATGTGTACTCCAGTAGCCCAGCCAGGCAGGACGAGCCCTCCAGGCTCACCCCCGTGAGGGGCAAGGTAAGTCGAGGGGCCCACTGTCCTTGCTGCCTGGAGGAGGGCTGTACGGCCACTTTCATGAAGCCCAGGAGCCGGGAGGGCTCTCATGGAGCAGACACCCCACCCTCCCAGCAAAAGGTGAGCGGGTTGGGCAGTGAACTGGGGGGGTCACACCCCCAGAACAAGAGCCCTACCCTAACATGCCGGGTAGATCTCTTCCCTCCTGCTCTGGACAAAAGCCACGCTCTTCACCACTCTCAAAAAGTGGAAGTATTAGTCACTCAGTTGTGTCTGACTCTTTGTGACCCCATGAACTGCAGCCTGCCAGACTTCCTCTGTCCAGAGAATTCTCCAGGCAAGAATACTAGAGTGGGTTGCCATTCCCTTCTCCAGGCTTCCCGACCCAGGGATCGAAACTGGGTCTAGATTCTTTACCACCTGAGTCACAGAGAAGTCCCACCACCCTCAAAATACAAACCAAAAACACCTCTTCTCTCCACCAAAGAAATATCATAATTCAGGTAGAATCTTTTACGTGATTTTTAAACCATTGAACAAATGGGTCCCACCTGTACTCCATCCTAAGCAACAGCCAGGACGGTGCTGCCTCCATGACATGGTCTCAGGACTGGGGCCTCGGCCCTGCCCAGACACACCTCCAGCAGGACAACGCGGCTAAATGGGCACTGAACAGAGAGCCTGGGCTGAGCGCAGCCACACTCACTCGGCCTGTGGGCAGAGACCAAGCCTCTGCCGGGGAGAGGGGCCGGGCAGGAGGGGCCTTGCACATACTCAGCAGTAGCTGCACGCCTTTCCGGAGCAGGATCTCCTTCACTTCCTGCCGGACACAGGGCAGGAGCTCTGTGTCTGCGAGGGCCATCTGGGAGTGAATGAGAGTGACCTGGGGGCAAAGAACCACAGGGCAGAGGGAAACCACTGAGTCTCCCGCTCACACAGAGAGGACTGAAAACAGCAGCGCTTCTCCCGCACCTCCTCCCAGCTTCCAGTTTACAGGTGAGGAATCTGAGGCCCCAGCGAAGTAAGTGGCCCACTGGCAGACCAGTTATAAGACAGTAAAGAATCCACCTGCTATGCAGGAGACCCAGGTTCGATCTCTGGGTCAGGAAGGTCCCCTGGAGAAGGGAATGGCTACCCAGTCCAGTATTCTTGCCTGGAGAATCCCATGGACAGAAGAGCCTGGCGGGCTACATTCCATGGGGTCGCACAGAGTTGGACACAACTGAACAACTAACACATGCAATTTCAGACCAGTTAATGGTGAGTTGGGCTGGAACCCATATCTCCCAGACTGGAATTCTTTCAGATGTGCCAATACTTCTTGACACATACCTCACTGAGGGCCATGTGGAAAATGATTTTCAAGCATCCTTGGGCACTTACACAGTCTCTATGTAAGCCATCGACACTCTGTAAATCAGGCTGACATTTACACTAAAGCTGGTTCTAAAACTGGTGCTTCCAAACATGTCTATTTGCTGCCTGGGTCAGTGCAGTGAAGTGGAAGGCAGCTTGTAGAGATGTTCAGAGCTTGGACTTTGAAATCAGACTGGCTGGGTTGAAATCCCATCTCAGATATCCACTCAGACACCTCCCAAAAACTTCGTAAAGTGGACAGTCCCACTCAGAGGGATTTTGTAATGATGAAATGACAAAGTAAGTAGAAAACACATAGCTCGGCACATGTACGTGTGCACTCAGTCATGTCTCTTTGCACCACTATGGACTGTAGCCCACCAGGCTCCTCTGTCCATGGGATTTCCCAGACAAGAATACTGGAGCAGGCTCTTATTTCCACCTCAAAAGGATCTTCCTGACCCAAGATTGAACCCTCATCTCCTGCATTGGCAGGTGGGTTCTCTACTGCTGAGCCACCTGGGAAGCCCCAGCTCAGCACACACTGACTCCTTAATAAAGGGTGACTACTATTACTCTTACTGTCTACTAATTATCAACACATAAGAATTATTCTGAGTTATTTACTACTTCAGACCAGTCTCTACCCCATAAATCAAAATTAATCAACTTCCACATCAGTCACTCATAATAATTTCCAATAAATCATCAGAGAATAGCCATATAATTAAATTAGCCTATATTGATCTTACTTTTCAAAACCAACCTGCCTTTCCCTAGGGAAAAAGAACCAGCCACAGGCTCCACGTGGCTCCCAGAAGCTGATCTGGCATCAGCTACAGCCAAGCTCTCGCCTCACGAATCCATAGTCACTGATCATCACTCAGCCCTCAGAGAAGGCAATGGCACCCCACTCCAGTACTCTTGTCTGGAAAATCCCATGGACAGAGGAGCCTGGTAGGCTATGGTCCATGGGGTCGCGAAGAGCTGGACACGACTGAGTGACTTCACTTTCACTTTTCACTTTCATGCAATGGAGAAGAAAATGGCAACCCACTCCAGTACCCTTGCCTGGAGAATCCCAGGGACGGCGGAGCCTGGTGGGCTGCCATCTATGGGGTCGCACAGAGTCAGACACCACTGAAGCGACTTAGCAGCAGCAGCAGCACTCAGCCCTAGGTTGAGCCTTTATAGTCTGCTCCCTTTCTCTCCAAGATGCCAGCAAGTTCTCTATCCCTCCATAAACAGGAGCAGAGCCACCCTCTCACAGGCAGAAAACAGTGCTGGCCCGTGCTTCAGCAGGGGCTGTGAGGGGTGCACTGCAGGGTCCCCCTATCTGTCCAGGAAGAAGACTACTGTCTCTTATCCAGAAAAAGTGAAAGTGTTAGTCGCTCAGTCATGTCTCACTCTTTTGCAACCCTATGAACTGTAGCCCACCAGTCTCCTCTGTCTGTGGGATTCTCCAGGCAAGAATATTGGAGTGGGTTGCTGTTTCCTCCTCCAGGGGATCTTCCTGACCCAACGATCAAATCCGGGTCTGCTGCATTGCAGGCAGATTCTTTACCGTCTGAGTCACCAGGGAAACTCGTCTCTTACCCAGACAAGACACCAATGAGGATATCTTTGACCAAGCTGGTTGTCAGCAAAAAGAGGTAATCAAAGTTTCTGTCACAAAGGAGAAATTGCTGCAGGGGACACGGGAGTTAATCTTTTGTAAAATATTTTTGTAAAATATCAACCCCCCCTGGGCTTGATCCTCCAGGTTGGCCTAGAGAGCAGAACCTATCACTGAACAATGGCACACCCTAGCTCTCCAGGAAGAATTCCCAGCAGAATGGGACTTTAGGGGGGTGCCCAGTACAGAGAGCAGGAGATGGGAAACACATGCTCCCACTTTATGTTAATGGGACTGCCTTCCCAGGCCCTGAGAAAATTCTGATATTCATTAGACAAAAAAGAAGCCCACTTTGGGGAGTTCAAAGCCAAGGTCACTGGCCCACCTCTTTCTCGGGGTATTCCGTTTTAATCTCTGCGGCCATCTCCACTCCTGCAGAGCCTCCTCCCACCACCACAATGGACTGTGAGCGCTGGACCTGGAGAAGCAGGAAATGTAAGCACACCCTCAAGTCCACCCCACCTCTGGGTCCAGACTAGGAAGTGGGTACCTTGACCAAGGAAGCATGGAGAACCCTTTTCAAGTTCAGGGTCCAAATATGCTTCCTCAGGGTCAGGCTTTTGCTGGGTGTCTCCCTGCATTTCTTACTAAGCTCTCACTACCTGCCCACCTTGCAGATGAGCGAATCTGTCTGAGATCATAGCCTAGCCTGAGATCAGGCTAGGTTCTTAACTTCAAGTCTAGCATCTGCTCATGACTATGAGAGAAGTTCCCCAGGCCTCTCAGTGGCTTTGCAGAGACGGAAAGGCCTGACCTCGGTCACACGGCTGCATGACCTTCTCCAGGTCCCCATGCTTCATCTAGTCAATGGGGACAGACCCATTCCACCCACCTCTCAGGATCCCCATGAGAACCAAGAGCATGGATCCAAGCCCGCTCTGTAAAACACGTGCCCTGTAAAAACAGGAGCCAATAGCTACATGAGCAGGTCTAGATGCCCATGTCCAGACTTCATGACAGGTCCAAAGGTCTTCTCCCAGGAGCCTCTTTCTGGTAACTCTGCATCTCTACAGTTCCTCTGCAGCCCCAGATACCTTCTGGGGGCTCCCTGCTGCAGCCCCAGGTGTCCCACAGCTGTTTCAGTCTCCAGGGCCCCCCTGGCTCTGTCCTCAATCCCCGCCCCTGGCAGTGGGCAGCTCACCTGCGTCACCATGTCCTCATAGGCCTGGATGGCCATCTGCTGGCTGGAAACCTGGTTAAACTTGCCTGGGAAGAGCCCAGTGCTGCCCGTGGCCAGGATGAGATGTGAAAAGGGTAGGGCCTGGGAGGAGCAAGGAAAAAAAAGGTGAGGATAGAGCCTGGGCTTCTGTATCCAACCCCAGTCTCCACCAGGCTAAAAACTATTTCTGAGGAATAAGTAGGATTCTAGATTCCAATGTGGAGTTAGTCTAGAATCTCCCTTTACTACCATTATTTTAGAAGAAACTTTTGCCATCCTAGCCAAAAGAAGAAAAAAAAAAGAGGGAAGGAAATCCTGTTTGGAACTTAAATATTGGGCTGGCCAAAAAGTTCACTCATTTGGGTTTTTCCATAAGATGTTACAGATATAAAATTGGCAATGGCAGAGTTGCTCTGATGGGAGGGAGACTGGAGGGTCTGTATCCCACTCAGCCCCCCACTCCCCCATGGAGGCCTGAGATGCCCTCAGGGACCCAAAACCACAGGATAAGGAGGTTCCCTATCATATGCCAAGCAGAGGTTCTATAGTCTTAAAATTGATTCAAGGAGGACTGATTCACAAGAAACCACACACTCACTAAAGACAGGAATTGGAGCCCGTTTGTCCAACCCCCACTTGGTTTTGACTAGAGCAGAGGTCCAGGCTGGAGGGGACCCTCCAGCGGGTGGGCAGGTGGCGGCTCACTGACAGATTTCTGGTCCTTTGGGGATCCACCAGGCCCTGAGCTTACGCCATGCTGAGGAGCCCAAACTCCAGGAGGAAAACCTCTGCACCCCTCCCCCACTGGGTGATGTGGGATCATGGCACCTACCCTTTGATTCCAGACAGCGAGGGGGCCTCTGGGCTGGGCAAAAAAAACTGCCTGGGTCCACATGCTGGTGGAGTCTTTCCAGCTGTGGGGTCTTGGGCAAGCCTCTTAAGCTCGGGGTGCGCTGAGACTCCTCCACCTCCCTCGCAGGGTCACAGTGGGCATTAAAGGAGAGCACATGAGGCTTGAGACAGTGCCTGGCATACAGGGAGGGCTCCAAAAATGTCTGCGCCACTCTCCTGTAGCCGCTGGGGTCTGGCCTCAGCTCAGGAGGCATCTGCTCTCTTCCAGGCACCGGGCAGGGATGGGGGCGCCTCGTCCCTGAGGAGACCAGCCCAGGTATCCTCCCACCAGCAACCACATCCCAGGGGGCTCCTGAAGTCAGCTGAGAACAGCCAGCCCCCGCTGGACTCACCTGGCCATCCTCCAGCAGCACCGTCTGATTCTTCAGGTCTATCCCGACCACCAGGCCCTGCCTGAAGTTTTCCTTGAAGGTCACCGAGTAGGAAATGAATGTCTTTTTGGCAAACCCTGGGGAAAGGAGAGAAAGGAGGTCGCGGTATAAAGCTGGGCTGCCCACAGGAGGCCAGAATAACTCAGAACCCCTCCTGAGATGCATGCCAACAGCGACACCCTTGGTTAAACGACCCCGGGGTAGCCACTACCCCTTAGAGCAGCCAGTCTGAGCCCCAGGTCCTCAAGGAAGCTCCCACGCTGACTTCTGGGGCCTTCGTGTGGTAGCTGCTTAAGGCCAGGAACTCAAGATTCCCCAGAACTTGTCAATGGTGGAACTGGGGCAGCTTTCTGTAAGGGCAGAAAACCACGCTCTGACCCAGCAGTGAGGAGGCCACTATCACAAAGAAAGCCCCAGACAGGGCCCCTTACCGCTCTCCACAGAGGCCCGGAGGGCTGCCACGTTGTGGTGGAAGGACTCCTTCATGTCCACCAGCACAAAGGGGATGTTCAGCGCCTGCAGCTGGCTGGCGGCAGCAATGCCACCAAAGCCCCCGCCCACGATCACCACGTGCACGGCTCCTGTGTCCATCGAGACCTGGGACCCCATCTTGGACCGGGCACTACTGGGATAGGAGGAAAGACCACATCAGATTCAGGGGGGCTCACGACTGAGAAGGCAGAGGTGGGCCCACAGCAGAAAATGCCTCGAATGCCAAGACTTGATCGTCTGAAAGCATGCAATCACCTTTCAATGAAACTCCAATTTTTGTAAAATTTGAATTAAATTCCAAAGGAACAAGGGTTATCCTAATTCCTTCTCATCCTCCCAGCCCCCCAGTTCCGTTCTCCAAGGCATCTACTGTTACCAAGTTTATATGAATCCTTCCAGAGACATTCTGTGCACCTACAACCATGATTATTTTTTTTTTGCACACATTAAACAACTATTTTGCACTTATTTTCACTCATTAATATATTCATTCACTCACTTATGTAAGTTAATGAACCTCTTGCTCTTCAATGTGTTCTGTGCTGAGGATGCCATAGTCAGAGACAGACAGAAAGATAAGGCTTAGCCCTTGTAAAGGAGGATTTCAAACTCAAAGGGCCAGTGGACAATGTAGGAAGCTGGGTAGGTACACAGTAACAACAGTGGGTATACCTCTGGGGAACTGGTAAGCAGAGGCCACATTAAAGGAACTAACAAAATTCTTCAAGGACCGCACTAAGCCGACAGGGACCAGATTCCACCCAGTTCACAGGTCACCAGCCTCAGCCCCAGGTCTAAGGAGATCAGTTAGCCAGTAAGACAACCAGCCTATAAAATAGGCTGCAGTGAGAGGCCATGACAGTGGGATCAGGAGGAGGGGGCTGTTGGAAGAGAAGGGGTACAAAGGAACTGCCAGGTGACATCCCCCAGGAGAGAGGGGGCAGGAAGAAATCTCTGCTGAGAGAACAAACAGTGCTGGTTAAGGACCAAGAAGGAAGTCTGCGGGTGAGAAAGAGGCTGGAGATATGCTGATTATGAGGGCTCCAGGGAGAGGGGCAGGCGATACAAGGTCCTACTTGATGTCCAGGAAAGGGGACCTGCAATCAAAGAGAACATCTGCAAGGAAAGAGGGCCAGGTTTGCAGACCAAGTGTGGCCCAGGCTCACACACACACGCGTGAGCGCGGTGAGGAAGCAGACAGCAAGCTGCCAATAAGTGATGCAGAAGCACGTGCCAGTCCGCCTGATACCCTCTCAGGCAGCACTGCAGGTAACCGGAAGGCCACCACTCTGTCCTGCATCATCTGTGTGGTCTGGGGCACAACACCTCCCCTCTCTGGGCCTTCATTTACCCTCTGTAATGGGAGGGGCCAGGCCGCAATGTCCTTAAACAGTAGTTTTCCAAGATACAGGGGCCCCCAGATCTTCCCACACTTATGGGGGCACCTTATGGTTGGACCTCCAGGTACTGTTGCCATTGGTATTCAAATACACACTAATATCTCCTCTGGGGAAGTAAAAACCTGGGTGAGGGAGGGCAGATCTGGCATAGGAGATTGGAGGGAGTTTAACTTTGCCTCTCATTGACTAAACAGTCCCCAGTGTATTGAAACTTATGCATTCTTTTTTTTTTTTTTTTAAATTTAGAAATTTATTCTGTTTAATCCACAAGCTTTATATAGCTTTAGTTAAAAAAAAAAAAGAAAAGAAACAAAAACAGTGAAAACAAGACACTATTTCAAAGTCTGGGCCCTTCCAGCTTTCCAAATACAAGAGCTCTGAAAGTTGTATATACCGACTGGAACAAGACAAAATTATGAATGGAGCCATGACATTTCATAAAACAAAATTTTATGTAACTGAAGGATCCTTCCTGGGGCTAGTTAATTGCCTTTACAAAAAAAGAGAAAAGAATGAAATTCCAGTGTTCCAAATCAACTTGTTACACATCTATATAAACCCACAGTGTCCTGGCAAACAACATGCTTTCATTTTCTGTCTCATCTTAGAGCTCGAATCCTGATTCATTTCAGCAGAGACTCGACAGGCAACAGGAAAGATTGTGGCATTAAAATATTCATTTATACTTTTGTGGTAGTTCAACAGTGGTCTTATTTCTGGGCAAGCTTGCAAACCATCAAGGTTGAAAGCATCATAACTTAAATGGGTGCTAAGACTCAAATGAGAAAAATGAAAAAGGAAAGAAAAAGTAGAAAGAGAAACGTCTGGGAATAGCCAGGGGTATTTAAAGGAACCATAAGAATGCCAACGATATTTAAACCCCCTTTTTTAAAAAGGGGATTTTTCTTTTTTGGCTTAAAATATTTCAGTCTAAATGAATTTATGTCAGCTGTCAATGAAAGAATGTCACTAATACACTGTGGACACCTTTTGCAATGTAAATCCATGCCCTTTTTTTTAACATGGTGAACTTCAACCTAGCAATTATTACAACAAATGTTATAGTCTAAAGCTCAAACACATTTTAGCAATTTTGAAATTGAATTGCGTACAAACCAAATAAAATTTACATCATAACAAACATTTCCATCTAGGACTGTGGGGACACTTGAGCCTTCCGCATTGATCTCAGGGCCTTTTCACGCAGGTGCTTTTCTAAGTCATCAAGGTTATCTTCAGCCTCACTTTCAGTCTCCTTCTTAGGCTCTGGCTCTGGCTCTGGCTCCTCCTGTGCTGAGGTGGTTGTGGGGGCAGCCACAGCTGCAGGGGTTACGGCAGCTGCAGCCGCGGCAGCTACAGCCTTCTCCTTCTTGAAACTTATGCATTCTACCATTTTTTTTAATTACGACTTTTTTTTTATTGAAGGAGAAATATCAGTAACCTCAGATATGCAGATGACACCACCCTTATGGCAGAAAGTGAAGAACTAAAGAGCCTCTTGATGAAAGTGAAAGAGGAGAGTGAAAAAGTTGGCTTAAAGCTCAACATTCAGAAAACTAAAATCATGGCATCTGGTCCCATCACTTCATGGGAAATAGATGGGGAAACAGCGGAAACAGTGGCTGACTATTTTTCTGGGCTCCAAAATCACTGCAGATGGTGATTTCAACCATGAAATCAAAAGACACTTACTCCTTGGAAGGAAAGTTATGACCAACCTAGAGAGCATATTAAAAAGCAGAGATATTACTTGGCCAACAAAGGTCCATCTAGTCAAGGCTATGGTTTTTCCAGTGGTCATGGATGGATGTGAGAGTTGGACTATGAAGAAAGCTGAGAGCAGAAGAATTGATGCTTTTGAACTGTGGTGTTGGAAAAGACTCTTGAGAGTCCCTTGGACTGCAAGGAGATCCAACCAGTCCATCCTAAAGGAGATCAGTCCTGGGTGTTCACTGGAAGGACTGATGTTGAAGCTGAAACTCCAGTACTTTGGCTACCTGATGCGAAGAGCTGACTCATTTGAAAAGACCCTGATGCTGGGAAAGATTGAGGGCAGAAGGAGAAGAGGATGACAGAAGATGAAATGGTTGAATGGCATCACCGACTCAATGGACATGAGTTTGGGTAAACTGCGGGAGTTGGTGATGGACAGGGAGGCCTGGCGTGTTGCAGTTCATGGGGTCGTAAAGAGTTGGACACAATTGAGCAACTGAACTGAAATGAATCGCTTTATAATATTTTATTGGCCTCTGCCATATGTCAACATGAATCAGTTTTACAAATGAGAAACTGACAGGGCTGGGACCAAAACAAGCCCCCCAGCAGGTATTGTCACTTTTGCAGTCCCAGGCCCTCAGAAAGGTTGTACAAATATAGCCCAAGGAGTGTTCATCAGGCTGAATCTGCCAACTGGGCCAGGACCCAAGAGGCCCCCAGGGACCAGCCAGGGACAGAAGCAGACACCAGGAGCTGAATAGGGCCTGGGAATGTGGCAGGTGGTCAGGCAGGCTATGGAAGGGGCACATTTCATCTGCCCCCTTCAACATGGCCCCTCTCTGTGCCAGCCTGCCCTTGGGGCCAGCAGCCAATGAGGAGGTCAGAGAACCACCCAGAGAGCTCTGCTTCCAAAGCCAGGAGGGTCATAGGACTAAGAGAGGCAGGCTACCAGCTTGTTGGGGAGAGGGGTCCACCATGGGCCACCCAGGGAAGCTTGAGCTGGAGCCTTGAAAAACAGCTGGGGTCAGGGGCCTTCATCACAGAGGAAAAAGCTTAGGCCAAGAAGTCTAGTGGCAGGAAGGGAGGGGGTGTGAAGGGTTCAAGGAACAGGTTTGGGCAGCTAGGAAAGCAGGTGACAGGGGCCAGCACACACAGAGGACTGTCAGGTCAGACCGGTGTCTGGGCCTACAGGCTTCCCTAGGGTCCTCACGGGGAAGAAAGCCCCATGAGCCCAGCACAGGCTGGACGGGCAGTGGGTTAGTCAAAGGAGCTGAACTCCTACTCCCTCAGCACCCCTGGGATCATTCACTGGTTCCCCGGAGAGCAAACCCTGGCCTCACCCAACTAGGCACAGCCCTCGATAAACGTGAACTGATTCTCTAGTTGTCCAGGTGCAGAGTGTGGGGCCTGAGCACACACCCAGGCCCAGGAAGGGCTGCCGGAGCCGGGTTGGGGAGGGGAGGTGTTTCTTAGCCACAAGCTGCCTGAGGCCCCTCTCCTGGAATCCTCCCTCCTCTCTCCTCCACTGACCCCTGACACACCCACTCGTGGACTGGGGGCCTGGCGGCGCTCCAGCCCATTCCACCCTTTCTCCTCGGCAGCCTCCCTTGCCCAACACTCTTGGACACCCGCCTCTCCCCTGGCTCATCTGATGCCAATTCTCACCTGGCATCGGTGTGCCAAGGACAACTGGACTCCCCTCTGATCAGTCCTGACCTACTTCACCAGACACCTAAACCCTTGGCTTAAGCCATGGATCTGCACTCCCAGGCACACAGCCTGTAGGTGCTCAGAAAGCAAGTGTGCAACTGGTGATGTTGAATTATAGGTTCTAACATAGTAGCAGTGCTGGGCAAACAGCCTCAACCAATGGGCAACTCCATCAATGGAAACCTCCACCAATGGGAGATTATAGGCTACGCTATTATACACCCATACAATGGAATATTCTGGAGGCAATTTTATAGTGGCAGAATTTTTACATGAAAAGTTTGTTCATGG